GAGCGAGAGAGAGAGAGAGAGATAGGAGGAGAGATTAGACTGGCAAAAGAGAAAAGAGAGGTAAGGTGGAGAGACACGCAGAGGAAGATATCAACCCCAAACCCGGCGAAATGCAGCACTGTAATTTTGAGAGTCACATGCGCAGACTGGAGTCCTGTGTGACGGTAAAGAACTGTCAAGTCATCGGAGAGCTGACGGGTTCTCAAGGATGGTTCTCGGCAAGGCAAATAAAGTCTTTGAACCAGTGCGTTCGGGTTTCCCACTCATCAAGATAATGATGTTCCCAGTTGCTTCCAATTACAGTGTGGGGTGTTTGCAAGGACACATCCCATCAATCCTGTGCACCACGATGCTAGCTTTTCCACGGCGCAGCAGTGTCTCAAGACTCAATGCTGCTGAGGACGATGTCAAAGCAGAGGTGAAGCAACTCTGACTGAACTTGGGCCGACGTTTCTTAAGAATATGCAGCTATTTGCTGGTGGGTGGTTCAAACTACGCGAGATTTCGACCAGCGCCCTCGCTCAGGTGGCCGTACGAGCTGCCACTCCGAAAAATCGTGGGGTTCGATGGTCGGCACCTGGGCTCCTTGTTTTGCAGTAGTTTGTTTGCAACGTTAGATTCATGAGATGCAGACCCGAAAGATCCCGAAAGCAGTCAACAAGCAACTTGGCAACACACTGGCCCGATATAAATCCACTGAATGTCTGATGAGTTACAGCGAAAACAGCAGCCCAATCGTGATTTCGGGGGCCTGCCAAACCCTGTCAGTTCGGCCGGTGGGTTTGAGAAGCGCATTCTGTGATACCAATCCCGAGGCCTGCAGCTGATAACCCCTAACTGAGCATCGCCCCAGATCCCCGAATCCTTCGTCTAAACCTTTCATTCCTTCCAGCCCTGCAAAGCTAAGGCTATGGGGCGGCATTGCAGGCGATGCTCGAGCAATTCGATTCTTGCCGTCATCGTCTGCACCATTAGTGACTTCATGGGTGAATGACTGCAGTGATGTTTATGCTTTGGCTGTGAGTTCGAGTTGCCAGAATGTACCAACGTGATCAATGCAGTTCAATCAGATAGTCGGAAATAGTGGGCACATGGTTATAAAATCATCACGGAACTGGTCGAGCTATGATTGCGCTCACAGTGGTTTCTTGCTACACGGGTAGCACCATCGTCAGCAGCAGCACAAATTGATATTATTTTGGCATGTCTGTCCTTCTTCATTGCACTTGTAGTTCTGGTTTTCGATTGTTTGCTACTCCTGCTATTCCTATAGTACTACGACTACTACTGCTACTGCTGCTTCTACTAATTTGCCAGCTAGCTAGCTGCTGCTGCTGCTGCTCCTACTACTGCCCACGTTGCTGCCAGTGCTTTCTGCGAAATTTTCTGTGTTGCCTGTTGCTTGTTTTGTTAAGTGTCGTCGTCGTTGTCAGCGTCGTTGATGACCTTGCGATTGGGTTACGCAGACTCCGGCACACCAAGGAGTCCGCCGGCGGCCGTTTCTTCCCAGGACATGCATGCCTTAGCATGGGCAAACCATGTCGGATTCTAGTGAGGCCAGCTACCCTGACAAGTACAGGTCGCTGGCCTTGGAAGGCCTTCAACTCCCATACTCAAAATTCGAAATCTAACCCTACAACCCTCAACACTAAACCTTACAGCTGAGATCTTAGCACCTGGTTCAACATCATACCCTGACCCCCCAGGTACGTACTATATAGGGTACTAGAGCCCCTAAGGCCCTATATAGTAGGTACTACTGGGGGGTTAGGGTGACCCTAAACCCTAAACCCCTAAATCCTAAACCCTAAACCCTAAACCCTAAATAGTAGGCACCTGGAGGGTTAGGGATACTTCGAACCCCAAACCCCCAAACCGGCCGATTCCTCGAAGTCCTGAAGCCGACTCCCGGGGAACCGGGTCGGTCCTGGCGGTGCAGGCCAACAGGTGGGTTTAGGGGTTTGGGGTTTAGGGGTTTAGGGTTTAGGGTTGAGGAATGTCGGATCGGTTTCCGAACATTCTTGCCGGTCATGATTAAGACAGTAGCCAGACTTTCTTCTTCTGCTACCATTTTCCTGTAGCTGCCACTGTAAGGGGCTTCTAGAAAGTGCGGGCGGCGTGGTCTTCGAGGCACTCTTCTTGCTTTGGAGTCTTTGTTTTTGGGATCTGATTCTACTTAGGCAGCTCGGTTGGACCTTTGGGAGTTGATCGTGGTTGAGGCTTTCGCATCTTGGGAGGATGACTGTTCTTCTTTGTTTGTTCGTAGGTGTCGGGCATATTGTAACGGGTGAAGATTGCAAATTGGGCATAAAGGGACTTCTACCAGCATTGCGATCTCGAAGCAGCAACACTGAAAGCAGACCAAGAAGTATCACAGGAGCTGAGCTGCAGGGGCTCGAGCGCTCGGGAGAGCAGTGGCTGCTACACTTCAACAGCTCAGGGGCCGTGCCTTCGGCATTTGGGGATATTGTCGGTTGTCCCGTGTTTCAGGTTCGGAACCCCACATCCGGCATTCTTATCAGTTTGGCTGCGGACTCCGCAAAGGAATGTGCTCGTAATCCCAGGAAGAGCCGTGGAAAGTACCGCGAGTAGAAATGATAGTGGTAGGTCTGGTAGCCGTGGTGATCGCAGTAATCTCACAGAAGCCTTGAGCCCTACTATGATTTTAGGGTTTAGGATTTAGGCTTTAGGGTCTGTGGCTTAGGGTTATTATAGCAATTTTAGCACTTTGTGTGAAGCGATCGGCTCTCCCCTCCGGGGGTCATGTCTCCCCTGGTGTCTTTGGATGGGACAGTGATCCCTGAAGCTTGAGCCCTGAACCTCGAAATACTCTCGGACGCCATGGAACAGATACCGATACCGCTTATGATGCGGAACCCGCTCAACCCGAAGGCCCAAATGCCGGAACGCCTCAAGGTGCCTCTCCCCTCCCTTCAGCTGACGGCCACATCGGCCCTTCTGGTGGGCATCTCATATTGAAAGCCGCTTTGGGGCTTTGATGTTGGGGCTGTTCGGGGCTTAGGCCGGCTAGGGATTGGAGCTTGTTTGTGGTTTGCGACTTTGGGCCTCTAGGTCGGTGATGAGGCCGAGGGCTGGGGTGCAGGAGAAGTCGATAATTGGGACGACTGTATTCATTCTGCTAAATCTGCAGCGAATTGCTGGGAATGACAAGGGGCCTTACACGGGGTTCTGCATTCAGAACCCAAATAGCAGGCTACTGTCCCTAACCACAGCATTTGGTAGTCCTTCATAAGGGCTTGCTTTTCCGCGCTTTTGGGCTGCCAGGCCTTGCCGCGGCCAGTCCTCATGCGCTTGCCTGGCTTCCAGAAGGCTGTAGCTGAGAGGCCAAGGGGGACATGTCAAGTTATGCAACCCAACACTGTTAGGATGAGAGTTTAGGATAGTTCAGGTTCAAGGCTAGCGTCTCGTGCTTGAATAGGGTCAAGGATAAGGCGTCGCGGCTGCATGCCGAAGTCTGTGTGTTTTTGCAAGTAATTACAACTGCTGCTACGCACACGCCGCGCATGTCCGTGCTGGAATGATGTTTGTACGCATGTATGTTGCTGTGTATATATGGCAGCGGGTCAAAACCTTCTGGTTTGTAACAGGGCCGGGGCGCCCCTTGCGCGACAAAGTTTGTAACGAAAATGGTTTTTTGCGACAAGGCTGGCGCGACAA